TGGAACTGTCTGGCTTTATCACGGGTGGAAAAGTCTGAACCTTATGGTGATACTTTAAGCAGTTTCACATTCTCAACAGCCCTGGAAGTTTGCTGCCTTTAACATAAAAAAGCTTCAATATTCCTGTGTTCAAAATATGTGATCATTCTTTGCAATGAGAAACTGAGACACTGTTTCCATACAAGCTACCAGCTTGAGATAAACACCACAGAAAAACCTATCTTAATATTGTAGGGAGGATGTGATTTTATTTTTATTCTTAACTTGGGAGAATTAATTGATCCCTCATGATATAATGGGAAAGCTAAGATGTCCACCGTATTTGAAAAATCATGGTAGTCAGGTGAAGTTCACAATGACTGGAAAAGGTGAAATATAACCCCATTTTCGAGAAAGGGAAAATGGATGATCCGGGCAATTACAGACCACTCAGTCTCACCTCTGTGCCTGGTAAAATCTTGGAGCAGATTCTCCTGGAAGGCATGCTAAGGCACATGAAAAACAACAAGGTGCTTGGTGACAGCCAGCATGGCTTCACTAAGGGGAAATCCTGCCTGATCAATTTGGTGGCCTTCTATGATGGGGCTACAGAACTGATGGACTGGGGTAGAGGCATTGATGTCATCTACCTGGACTTGTGCAAAGCGTTCGACACTGTCCTACATGACATTCTTGGCTCTAAATTGGAGAGACATCAATTTGATGAATGGACCACTTGGTGGATAAAGAACTGGCTGGATGGCCTCACACAAAGAGTTGTGGTCAACGGCTCAATGTCTGGCTGGAGACCTGTAATGAGTGGTGTCCCTCAGGGATCAGTGTTGGGACCGGTCTTGTTCAACATCTTCATTGCTGACATGGACAGTGGGATTGAGTGCGCCCTCAGCAAGTTTGCTGATGACACCAAGCTGTGTGGTTCAGTTGATACGCTGGAGGGAAGGAATGCCATCTAGAGGGACCTTGACACGCTTGTGAGGTGGGCTGATGCCAACCTCATGAAGTTTAACCATGCCAAGTGCAAGGTCCTACACCTGGGTCGGGGCAATCCCAGGCACAGCTACAGGCTGGGCAGAGAAGAGATTCAGAGCAGCCCTGCGGAGAAGGACTTGGGGGTGCTGGTCGATGAGAAAATGAACATGAGCCGGCTTCAGTGTGCACTTGCAGCCCAGAAAGCCAACCGTATCCTGGGCTGCATCAAAAGGAGCGTGACCAGCAGGTCGAAGGAGGTGATCCTGCCCCTTTACTCTGCTCTTGTGAGACCTCACTTGGAGTATTGTGTGCAGTTCTGGTGTCCTCAACATAAAAAGAACAAGTCCAGAGGAGGCCACGAGGATGATCAGGGGCTGGAGCACCTCCCATAAGAAATAAGCTGAGAAAGTTGGGGCTGTTCAGCCTGGAAAAGAGAAGGCTGCGTGGAGACCTCAGAGCAGCCTTCCAGTATCTGAAGGGGGCTTATAGGGATGCTGGGGAGGGACTCTTCATGAGGGACTGTAGTGATAGGACAAGGGGTAACAGGTTAAAACTTAAACAGGAGAAGTTTAGATTGGATATAAAGAAGAAGTTCTTTATTGTAAGGGTGGGGAGGCACTGGAATGGGTTGCTCAGGGAGGTTGTGAATGCTCCGTCCCTGGCAGTGTTCAAGGCCAGGCTGGACAGAGCCTTGGGTGAGATGGTTTAGTGTGAGGTGTCCCTGCCCATGGCAGGGGGGTTGGAACTTGATGATCTTAAGGTCCTTTCCAACCCTAACTATTCTATGATTCTATGTGAGATAGGGATATGTGAGAAGATCTATAATTTATTAGAATTTAGTAATTAGTTAACCTGGTTAGGCATTAGAAGGGAGAGAAGGATAGAGGAAGGGAATGTTTCATCACTGTAAATAGTGTTTGCCTGGGAAGGCTCAAATAAAGGCAGAACTCAGGACATGGGATGCAACTGATCTGATGTTTGCTAACCCACTAGGGCAAAATACCCCAAGAAATTATTCATGTTCCATTTGTGCTGTGTTGATATTTGGATGTGATTTCTTTGACGTTTTACAGTGCCCAGCTGTTTGGGACTGAAAGACATAAAACATCCGCAACAATGCTTGAGTTTTACTACAGTGACATTCCATGGGCAGAGAGGATGATCTTTTGGGCAGCTGCCCTCGTTCTGAGAGCAGCAAAATAAAAAATCCAACAACTTGCTTTTGAAGACTGCTGCATACACGGGGCCTGAGTGGTGGGGGGAAACATTCTATACATTTTATTTCAGTTACAAACAAATGTTGATCTTTGGATATTTTGGGGACTATTTTGTGATTCATAAATATTCATATGCTTGGAGTTCCAAGCTCCAATATATCCTGAATGAATTTCTAATAATATTATACTTTTATTTGGAAAGTTTTTGTCAAGAATGTCTGCTGAGTTTACTTTGCTATAATTCATATGGAAAGATTTGCTAGGGGAAAATAGCACCATTAAATACATTGGACGGTTATGCAAAGTTGATTAAATTGTTTCAGTTAGTTACAATAAACAATAGGATCATATTGAAACAACATAGTTTGAAATTGAATGTTCTGTTCTCATATTCATAACTAGAATCATGTTGGTTATTTACATAAGTTATCCTGCCAGAATGCAGCTAATATCACATAACTCATTACCATGGCAGTGCAAAGAGCACATCATGAATACTCACTGAACACTTTTAATGTAATCAAAGTCACAGAAATATGGCATTTAATGTAATTGTTCTGAAGGAAATACACATCTGAATCTCTCTATTCCTTTGTAAATAACGGAAGTGTGAAGTTACCTAATTGCCCTGAGATTTATTTTATTGCTTTAACTGGAACTAAGCTAATGTGAGTCTGTCAATTTGTTAATAGCAATAGACACTGTTCCGACTCTGTGATAAATTTAGAATAATAAAGAATGAACAAACTGAGCAATGCAAACCATGACAGTGATTTCACTGCCAAATTCCTTGAGATAAACATATTGATCAATTTACATTATATCAATCCCTCCAAACCCTTAAGAATTTGAAATTAGAAATACAAGCTGAAATTTAAAACAATTTTATTCCCTAAGAACCTTAAATGACTACTCCTCCATGACAACCCCAAGTAAAAATGGAAGTTTTCAACATACTTTTCTAAGTATTTAATATTTAATCTCATTGCTTTTTCTGCCTTTCTCATTCCTTACCTAGTCTCAAAAGATGTCAGGGAGGTTTAAAATAGACCTTTATCCATTTTTAGGGTCTATTTTTATCTTCAGACTGTGGTTCTCCATTTTTCAGTGCTGAAGACCGTTTTTTCTGCATTGGCAAAAATACACTGTTTCTCGCTTTCATTTCCTTCAAAGATAAAGTGATTCGGTTGGTTTTGCACGTTTTCTCTTATTTTGAAGAAAGTTTTTTAAAAAAACATAAAACCTATTGGAAATTTAGAGGTCAAATATGGCCAGTTAAAGGGCAATGCTTGAAAACCTTGAGTTAAACAATACTTTAAGTTCTGGTGCTCAAGGACTCAGCCACTAGAGGGTAATATAAGATCAGGAAAAGGGAACTTAACGCATTCCAGCTTGAGCTTGTTTCCAGAATTTAGAAGTTCAGGTTTTAGTGCCAAAGTTTCTTCAGATACTTTCTAAGACTGCTCGGTAGCAGTAAAGAGCTGTTGCTGCTTACACTAAGGTGACATGGAGGAGCCATAGCTAAGGACAGAGACACACTTGTACAAAGGGAGCTGTACTTGAAAGGAGGGGTATGATCTGCCAGTTTCTCTACTTGAAAAGCTACACTGATGAAGAAAATGCTTTGCAAACTGTAATGACTGTTAATGAAGTTAATGCCTTGAAGGCAACCGCTTAAAGTTAATTTCAATGTTGTTCTTGGTGAGCCCAAAAGCTGCTATTTTTCCAAAGTGAGAGTGAAATTTGGCCTTATGGAAATACTGCTGTATGAATGAGAAGTGAGGTTTTCTAATGGAATCACAGAAAGTGAAGTTACAAAAACCCATCATCCTATTTAGGTCTAAACGAATGCAACCAAAAGCTCTGGGAACTTTTCAGTGACCTTTACAGGCTGGCTGGAAGGGCCACTGAATGCTTCCCAGACACCAGACTGGATCAGGGCTACAGACCACACTACAGAGCTTATTTACAGAGTTTGCAATCTGAAGTGCATCATCCTCCCCCCTTTCAAGTGACTTAAGAATGAAGGTTTCTGCAAGTTCCTCAGAGATAAATACCTCTGCACTGACTCACACAGGAAATTGCTGAATGACATGCAATAGCTGTTACATTCTCAAATCTTTATGCACAAGGCCAATACAAAATGTTCTAGGAGCTATACTGTGCAAGCTGTTTGGTTTTGCTGAGATTTAATTTCCTCAACTTTTTTCTTTCTTTTCGTTTATTCACTGCAAATGAATTTACACATATGGCTTATGTCAATAGGGTCAGCACTGTATGCTGTGAGCTGATAAAAACTCTCTTTGAATACCACAACTGGTAACCTGTATTGGATTCAGATCAATGGCACCAGCAAGTAAAGAAATCCATGTATTGTAGCAATACTTTCAGCCATTATGAAAATAAATGCTGTTATCACAGTTACAGATAAGTTACCTCTGGGGATTTTTTTTGGTTTTGGGTTCTTTTTGTGGGTTGGGTGTTTTTTTTTTCACAAAGAAAATGGGAAAGAAGAAGGAAGAAATAAGATGGAAGAGGCGTGAACACAGGGAGAGGAGTAAGACATCATACTGCCTGTCTCTAGGACACTAACAGCTTATTCTGCGTTTGGGATATGCACAGGCAATATAGTGAGAGTAAGAGCGTCTGCTGAGGTGGAGCCAAATCTGGTACTTGCTTTGAACCTTGCCTTATGTTCTATCTCAATGTGTATCCTGAAATTTGGCACACAGTTTTTTTATTCCAGACTGGAAGGCACCCACCAGATCCCATCACTGGCCTCCACAACTGGAGCTGTGCACACGTTGCCTTTACCTTGTCATCCCCTGAGATCCAAGGAAAATTCTGCAGTTTGGGTCGCTGGAGTCTGGTATACGGAAGGTGTCTGAGATTTTTGCAGTAAAGCTGCTATATCCAGTCAGCATTAGTGTGTCTAACAGCTCCTGACTCTTTATTCCGTCAATTGCATGGTAATTCTTCCTGGTCAATTCCTTCCGTCAATTCCATGGGAAAATCCTAAAAAATTTCCTGTGAGGAAACAGACACAAATTAACAATAAGCTGTTCCTCTTTTGGGAGAATTATGGGCTGATAGGCCATATGTAAGAGATGCTCGGAGAAAGTGTGGAATCACACCTTGTTAAGAAATGCACACTCAAAGCATGTATACTCTGACCTGCTACTCTTGTTTAAAAGAGTTTGGTCAAATCAAATCACTCTCAAATGTAGACTCTGGCATGTAAGACCAAGAGTTTCCTTCATCATATTAAAATATGCCTTGAAGTGTACTCAGAGGCAGTAGGTTTGACAAGTCACAGCTCAGACACATCAGCATTGTTTCACCACATACGGACACTTCAAAAACCTAATTAAAAAAAAGAAATGAGAATGTGAAATACACCAGGAGATCAATATCCACTGGGATTTTCAAAGGCATTCAGTGTAAAACTCCCCCTATACACATGGTCTGCTCTACACCACTCTAATTATGACTGAAAATCTCTTTATAACTGGAAAGGAAACGTTTTTATTATTCAAGCTGAGAAAAATGCAGTCAGCACAAGCAGCAGGGTAAAGCCTTTTTAACACTTTGATCAAGTATTATTGGGAATTGTTTTATTACAGTATAGTCTGTGTTTTACATTAATTACATTTTTCAATTTCTCCTTTCATTTCAACCGATTTCAGGGCATTTCAAGTAAAATGAGATTTTTTTTTTCTTTGAGATGTTTTGGAAGACAATTTTTTCTGCTGTTGGGTTTTTCAGTATTGGCTCTGCATTGTTAGAGTCACACAGGATAAATGCTGCTCACTGAACTGCCAACTGAAGCTTTTAGAGTCAAGAATGACAAGTGGCATGCCATGAATAAGGACCACCTGGTGCAGGTATTTTTATAGTTATGATTGTATTTTAATAGCCCCTAGGATTTGAGAATGTGTTCACAAAGGAAGCAGGCATGTCCTGACATTTCAAACAGTTTTCCTCCATAAATAACAGCAGAACAGGTTTGTTATGTCCTCTGTGGGAACTGTGAACCCTTTTAGCATTAGAGGGACAAGAAACTTTGCACCTTGCCATTGGGAATGCAAAGTCTTAAAATCCTGATAAACTTGTCAGGGACAGAGTGAGGGCTGCAAAGATCTGAAAACACTGTAGAGCCATCAAACCCAGAGACAAGCAAAGAAGTAAATCTTCCAGTGACTTATCTATCTCCCATTAAAGTCTCCCTTAGATCTCATGTCTATTGAATGGGCAGCACTGGAGAAACCCCTGCCATGATGTCTTAGCAGAAGTGTAGAACTCAGTTTTACTTCACAAGGAGAACCAGCATGACTCCTTCATGGCTGTATGCTGCCAAAAATTATGCTGCTACAGAAAAGGGGCTTCTGTAGAATATCTCAAAGACACTCTGCACTCAAACTAGTACTCCTTACAAACACTGGCCTGGAGCAATATCAAGGAAAATTACAACTCCGCAGCTAAACTTTAATAAAAGGAAAGAATCTAGAATTTTTAAACCAGAAAATGATGACAACAACAGAGAAAAACAAAAAGGCCCTTCCTTATCAGAAAGTCAACTCCATACCCTCTAATGTTACTTAGATAGAAAGTACACAGTCGTTGAGTCAGCAGAGGGGAAGAGAAACTAGTTCCATATTATGGGCCACTTCCAGATAATCTGAATATTCTGTCTTTTGCCACTTGCTACAGGCAAGTTTGTACTTTGGGCTCAAGACTGGATGGATCTTTCCAAAATATCTGTTAAAAAATAAGCTATATTTTATCACAGCAGCATCAAGCAGTGCAGGTCAAACAGATACTTCTAATGTTTTCCCCTTGATTCCACTCTACTTTGTCCACTAAACATCAAAGCCATTGCAGGAAAAGCATCCTTAAAGGTGATGGAGTTGAAGTAGGAGTTAATTTGTCCTCAAGCAGCCAGCTAGAAAATTTCTTACTGCTGTTTGTGTCTGATGATTTAGGGAATGTAATAAACATATTGCTGATCTCATTTTCAGTGCAAGCAAGAAGCAAAATAGATGTATTAACTATTCAGGCCTAGCTGCTTCTCTTTCATAGGCACTGAAAGTAAATTATTGTCTGCTGCTGTGGCCCCTAGAATCCAAATTTAGTTACATAGTTGGCATAAATGTGTCCTTAAATATCAACAAGTTAATATTGCTGAGATTAATCATAGAACCTGCTGAGGTCATCTACTAAATTACTGAGTCAGTTTACACACTGGCTCAGTAATTTAAGTGTAAGCATAGAGTTAAGAACATTCTTAAACTGAGACCCAGGAAGCTACACTACTTACCCCTTTTTAATTCCCAAGTTGAGAGCTAGACCTGTCACTGAGCAGATTTTTCCCCTTTCTCTGTTGTGTTTGTCTGTCTTCATTGATTCTCTTCAGCTGATTATTTCCTAATTCTGTCAAGAAAATGAACTTTGCTAGATCCTCCAAAGGGTTTTTCTTTTAGCAGTATAACCCCCTCTACCACTATTTTAAGTATTATCAGGATCTGACAATAATAGACATAATTGACATAATTGAAGACCTTTCTCTTTCTCCATGATAAAAACCAAAATTCAAAGATAAATTGCTGTGGCTGTACTACCCCTTTCCATCTGGCTTTTCCTTTTTTCCCTATTCCCAGGTTTGAACTGATTTTTCCAAATCTGTCTTGTCTTGATTTTGCCAGTATCTGCAAGTGAAAGGAATGGGCTTTCCATTTATTTCACAAACTGTACTGATTGGCTTTTAGGGGAAGCCATGATAAAAATGAGATCAAACACACAATGTGCCCTTGAGAGCTGGATCTGCAAAGACTTAAAAATGAAAAAAGGGCCAGGGCCAAAGAACTCTTATTTCTTAGTAGACTCAGCAAGATGGAGGTCATAGCGGAGCCAGGGCATACGCGGCTGGAGAACCAAAAGGGACAGACCAAGCTCTGGTTCCATCACATCTGCATGTTGATTTCCACTTGTGCTTTTATGCCTCCTTTCTGTATCAGGCATGTTGCAGAATCCCACCTCCTCCTGCCTATAGACTTAGCAGAAAACGTTCAGCCTCCCAGCTCGCCGCTTTACTTGACTGCCTTAGTCTCTTCACCTTTGAAGAGAGGAAGCAGATTGTCAAGTTGAGGCGCAAATGACCCTGGTTCGGCTCCCTGAAGAGGACAATGAAATGTAATACCTGTTCTGTATGGCTTTATAATAAAAATAACAAATAGGGTGTCCTTTTCCCAGTTATTCCTGTGGGAGGGATAACACTAAATCAAATTCTAAGGGACTTTACTCCTCTTTGTGGTATATTCAATAAATATAATATTTAGCTTTTATTAACTTTTTCAGCATCACTAATAACACTAGTCTGGGAGCTTCACAGCACTGGTGTTTATTTACATAACAGCTTTACAGCTGGATTTGGAAAAATTCCTATTGCCAGACAAAAAAAAAAAAAAACCCACCAAAACTGTGCTGATCAGGATGCACATTTTTGGGATGCTTTCAGCACAATTTTCTCCTGTACTCACCTCTGTACCAGCAACACTTCATTTGTTCACAGCATAACACTAATCAGCATTCACTGCAGTTGTGCTTTGCCAGAACTGTTACAGAACATGTCTTGGTGCTGTATATTAGAATATCACAGCTACCACAAAACTAGTGATACAATTAGCAGCCACCTCTGGGGAGTCTGATTTCAGGTGACTTGCTCAGCATCTATCCCTTCTGTGTCTTCAGGCTGCTGACTGATTCAGTCCATTGAATTTCCATTCCTCCAAAAAGAAGGCAGAGCCTTGCATACAAACAGTGCTTTCCTATGCAGCTGATTTATCCCACAAAGTTCACCCTGGGCAGTGGTGGAGACAGGTCCTCCATCAAGTTAGTAAGCAATCGAGTAATTACGGATTGTGCCATAATGCATAAACATAAGATGGCTGATGTAATGTTCATGAGGCAAGAGTAACTGTAGTATTGCCTTGCTTTTGACACCTTTATGAATGATCTGGTAACATTGCTTCCAGTAGTTTCATATAGAATATATGCACCCATCACAAATATTATGATCCAGGGTTTCTGCAGACCATGTACAGAAGCTGTCTTCCATAACGGGTGCCCTCTGATACCAGTTTCATCCCTGAGATGGCTTCTGATGAATCACTGATGACTGCTCCTCCATCTGTTGTGCTTCCAAAAATGACAGCATGACATGATGATTCACCAGTCCTGTGTTAGGAGATTGAAAAAGATGTTTTAAGAGCCAGAAAAGATGTTCTTTTTACATTTATTGAGGATGATATGTTCTGTATACACTCATTGCAGATGCCTGGGGAAGACGTTCACTATTCTGCCAGCTCCCCTTATTGGAGAACTGGTTTGAATCTGATTTGGTTTCCAGTATATATAAGCCACAGAGGAACATCAGGTTGATGCTGGCTGTTACAGTCCCTAAATGCCATCATGTCAGGACCTTTGAAGTTTTGTTTCCTCTATTCACTCCTAGACCTGTCACATTCATATGCTGGAGCTAATATTATAAAGTGAGCATATGGGAAGCCCCTCCTTTCTGTGTCAGCAACAGCAGTGATTCAGTCTCTCAGCAGTGATTCAGCTGCTTTTGGCAGTGAAGGGTTTGCAAGCAAATGCAGTTTACAGGTTGTCTCATCCAGTGATGAGAAGTGAAGTTTCACTGCCTAATTTTGCCCATGAGGTCATGTTTTCCCAAAACCATGTCTCCTGTGCTCTCACTTCTTCCCACTTCTCTCTCCTACTTCTGCCACCAAACTGTGTTCATCTTTTTCCTGGGACAGGAGCAACTCCAGCTCCTCGTTCTTGACTGGACAAGGTGTAACAGCTTAGGGCAAGGGAAGAAATTCTCTCATGAGTCTGTAATAGCTTTTCGTTGTACCTGGAACAGCAACTCTCAAAGGCAGATGGATCATCAGT